GACGACCCTCCCCATCTCCAGTCCCGATAATTGAAATTTACGAGTTTAAATTAAATTTACATGTTTGGTGGACTAGTGTGGACTAACTCACTATGTTGACATCCCTACAAATGTAAGACTTGTACAAAAAAATAAAATGCGTGTTTATTATTACTAAAAAGATGTGGGGATGAGCATTTCATTTATCAAAAATAATTGTTAAAGGAAAAAAATAGAAATAAATAAATATATCTCTTAGTCTTCTAATGATTTAAGTGTGCTTGTGTAGGTGGTTTAACATTGTACACCAAATTAATGTGTTGAAATATCAACTCCAGTGGAAAAAAGTTTTTTTTGTTACACATTTGATAAATAAATAAGGGTTGCATTTGATTGCAAACATAAAACTTGTATAGAAAGAAAATAAATTATAGGCAATTGAACTTATTTGCATGGAAATTATTAATTAAATGTGTTTGATTGATTTAGTTTTCAATCTAGAAAATATTTTACTTGTCCATTTTTTATTGATGAGTAGATGAGGGACGGGATAGATAAGTATTCCCTGGAAAATAAAACTCTACTCCTCCTAAGAAAAATATTTTCCTCGATTTTGAGAAAAATTTTGTCACGTGATCAAAAGTAGGAAAATGTTGTCAATCAAACAGCACAAAAGTATGATTTTGGTTGGAAAAAAAAATACATTTTCCATGGAAAATATTGACAATCAAACACACACTAAGATTTTTGTCATTTTAACAATATATTTTTTTTTGGAAGAGTTGAATTAACTTCATTTGTTTCATCTTATAAGAAATATCTAAGTTTCAGATAAGCTGCAATATAACCAAATTCAAAAGTTATAACTTGTAATTTTCAATTACATTACATTTTGCATCGTATTATTCTCCACATATATTAATGGCGCTCCTTGGGGTGGCAAATATACCGAGCAGCTCACATTTCGGATCGTCCAGACGTGACTCGTGGACAGCTCGTGCTCATTTTTAGATGAACCATGAATTGAGTAGAGTTCAATTTTTTTTTTCACGAATCGACTCATTTTTTAGTTTGATTTATTTCTTTCTTTTAGGAAAAAGAGTCAGCTCATGGGCTCGTGGGCAACTCAACTCTATACATGAGACTCTCAAATCAAATTGACGTGGTAGAAGCTTATAGAACAAAATCTCACAAAAATTCAAACTTGTTCACTCTCTTGTGAAAATCAAGAAAGAGAAAATAATTTTGAGAAATTTATCAATACTCTTTATTAAATTCAACTAATTGACATAAGGCTTATAGCTCGTATTTAAAATAGTAAATAAAATCTAAATAATAATTTAACTCATAGATCACGACTAACTCTAAATAATGATAAAACGAAAAATGCATTTTCAAAGCCCCGAATGATGGAATTTAATTGAAACAGCCGTACACCATGAGCAAAGTCGTCCAATCTTGCTCATGAGGCCATTTTCACCAAAAAAAAAAAAAAGGACACAAAATTTTCTAAAAGCACACTTTTTCGACCACGATCCCGCTTTTCCATCAAACTGTCTTCTTTTGTGTTGCATTATAAAGGATCAAATCGAGCCTAATTTGTAGATACGAGCCAAACTCGAGTGTCTAAGTAAAGAGCTGACTCAACCCAATCCCTTATCACCCCTCTTTCTAGAAGGCAAATAGTACATATCGCACTTAGAATATTATTTTAACTTGACTTTGAAAGTCTTCATTTCAAATTGAATGGTTGGTATATTAAGCCTTAATCAAGTAATTAAGAATCTTTTACCTAATCAAGCTATCATGTTTTTCACAGTGTCGTGACATCAATGATTTATATCACTAATTAATTAATAATTACAGTAACACATATCTTAGGTTGTTCAATTCACGAAGACTAGAAATTAAACAAGAAAATTACTTAAATTAATATATTATTAATTCCTACAAAAAAAATTAAGGGAAAAAAAAAGACTTGACATGACATGAATGCAAAGAATTTGGTGAAATTGAAAGAGCCAAGAGATAGAACTCAAGTCAGTCCTCAATCAAGACAATAATAAATTATAATTAATAATTTGATATCATTTTAAGTCATAATTTAATTAATTAAATGGTCAATATAATTGATAGGAAATGATCCGTCAAACAAGCTAGTGGAAGTCTTATATAAATTGACATATTAATAAAATAGGAGACCATTTTGTCTTGTTAATGAATAATTATGAAATAATTTATTTCAAGACGCTTGATGTTTA